ATATATATATATATATATATATATATATATATATAACTTCAGTTTAAAAGAATGGCAGAAAAATATTTCATAAAGTAATGTTCAAGATCTGTTCAAAATATGGGCCTACGTACTTTTTTATTATTATTATGTACAACATGACATTATTATGGTACTACATTAAGTATTAAATTGTATAAGAATTTTTTATTATTTTTTATTGAGTCCCTTGGCCATTTATGACCATTAGGGCACCCTAGATGCTAAGCATCATCACTGGTTCTTGGGCAGATTTTACCTGGTGGTACCCAACTTCTCTCTAGGTAGCTGTCTAATTTAGCAGTGAAAGACTAGAGGAAAAGCAGCCAGTCAATACCACCCACTGCCACCTCATGGGCAGATTTTACCTGGTGGTACCCATCTTCTCTCTAGGTACCTGTCTCTAATTTAGCAGTGAAAGCCTAGAGGAAAAGCAGCCAGTCAATACCACCCACTGCCCTCATGGGCTACTTTTGGTTGGTTGTTTGTTTTGTGCTTTATGGTGCAAATTAGTTAGGTTATCTGCTCTTACTGATGAATAATGAGATTGAATGGAATATTACAATGACCCCACAGCTGAAAGGGTGATCTTGTTCAGTGATAGAGCTACAAACCCACAAATTGCAAATTGTGTGTCAAGTGCCCTAACCTCCAGTCCATACTTAGTCCAATTCTTGGGCTAGTTCACAATTAGTCTTTTTTTTAAGAACTTGAAGTATAAGTAGTATTGATCACTTATCTGCTGTGAAAATAAAAGTGAAGAATGGTTTTGTGTGATTCTTGAATTTTGAAAGCAAATGGGAGATCAGCCAAACAGATTTTAAGAGAGCTATTGAACTTGTGGCAAACATATAATGTGTAAATATTTAGCTCAGCTAAGAGTTTGGTGGTGTGATTTTGGCATGTATTTACTATTTGATTTTATGTTATGGATTTTATGGATGGTAATCGATTGAACCAAGAATTTTTATGATATAAATACCAATCATATATTTTGTTTATGTATCTCAAAAAAGTTTGAGATACTGCTTCTTTTGTCATTCTCCTTAAAATACATACTCAGCAAAGCTATGTTAAAATATGTCTTCTGCAGTTAACTGCTTAGCTTTACTGTACATTATCATTACCCAAAAATGATGCATTATATAAAACACATTTCTTTAATGGCTATTTGTAAAAGCACAGATACTACAAATAAGCATTGTGATAATTTTTGTGTTACATTTGTTGGAGATAGTCTAATAAAGATTACTAAAATAAGAATTAAAGTCACCAACTCCTTAATATGTTTCTTTGAGGTGCTAGGCTAAAGGATAAAGGTCTGTGGTGATTTTGCCTACATGTTATGGCCAGAAATGAATATTTGATATCTCCCATGGAAGTTATTTTACCTGTAGTTGAAACACCAAAGACTGTATTTACAGATATGATGTTGTCTATTACCATATCCTTATTTGTCCATGTATATTAAATACTATGTATGCCCACTTGCCAAAAGTTGTCCCATTTAAAGGTGTTTTGTTACTTTGCATCTATTTTTTATTGTGAACATGATCTTCAATATGTTGTTTATTATTATGAGTTGTGATAAATATTAAAAAACAGTATTGTTTAATGAAGCTGCTGGCTATATGTCTTATAAACTGCTGTTATGCTGATGTTTCAGTATTCATCTTTTGTCATATTTTCAAGTATTTAAACCATTTGTTTTGTGATTCAAGTGTACAACATTGAAAAAGTAAACAATGACCAAATCTGTACTAATCTTTTTTACACCCTAGTGCATTGTTGAAATCACAACCTCCCCAGAAGAGCTAATCACACAGGTATATTTGATACTACAGTATCCAAAGAAATTGACACATATTTGTGGTTATAGACCAATAATGTTTTACCACATTGTAAACTGAGTGATTTATAGCCTTATGCAGAAAAAGTATGAGACATCAGTTAGTCACGTGAAAGTAATACGGATGTGTCATATACCATGTGAAGTGTGGACCTAAAGGAAGAAGATGCATATCAAAACCATGTAATGATGAACTAAGAAGATACCTTCAATGAGGAAGAACACTCATGTTAAGGATGGTGTGTCAGTTGCAGGAAATCTCAACAATAGTACAGATATTCTGAATATTGTTCTTTCATTGACTTCCATCCAAATAACGGTGAAACTGTTTGAAGTGATTGTCCTCCTTCACATTCCACTTCTTCTGTACTTATATAACTAGCTAATTGTTGTACCACTTGAAGCACAAACCCATGTATTTTTGTGTATAATATTACCATTTCTGCTGAAACCTGGTGCTGCAGAAGTTCCCTGGATAGAATGCTTTTGGTGCCCACCATGTACTGTGTGATATGTGTGAAGATGAAAGATCATACCAATTGTAAAATATGTATAATTGATCTTTTGGAGAGCACATGTGCAGCAGTTAAAAGATCAGATGGATAGGTATCAAAAGTTAATTGATAATGAATAATTTAATTTTACTGGATTGACCTAGTCTCACTTTAATTACCTGTCTTCCAAGATTCTATCATTGAGAAACATCCATGTAAGCTCTCTATGAACTTTGAGGTTCTCCTCTTTACATTTTATTGGTTACCCAACAGAATTTTGTCTATAAGTTGGGATTAGGAAAATACTTTTGGTGTAATATAGTAAAGAGAGCAAATAATTTAACCCATTCTGCTTTGATGAGTGTTTTTGTAGCCCACTATTTTGAATTTGGATATATCAGCTGCTAAGAACTGATATATATTCATGTCCATCCTCCCTCATGGAACATTTTAACAGAGGAGAATAATGTGTTGCTATCCTAGTTTTAGATGGCATGTATCCATATAATGAGGAACATATCAATTATGCATTCCATAAGTTTGATGGTATAAACAATAATTAGTTGCATAAAACAGTGGAAGCTACTAGACAAAGTTTTTATAGAGTTGCATATTCTTTTTATAGGGAATGATGTGAGAATTTTCAGTACTTTTTTTAAGTCCTGTTGGCCTACTACCACAAAAAACAGGATGTTGAGTCTGAAGATTTATGTGAAATTAGTTTATGTGGGAAAAGATTGAAGCAGATGACATGGCTTTAGACTTTCCACAGTTGTCTGAAGAACTCTTGTAGTCACAGAAACTAGGTGTATACCAGCTGAAGCAGGTATATGCAGTATCAAACACATAAGAACATCAACTGTAGGATGGACCACATGACATAAGGGTCAGTAGTGAAAAGGATGGCCTTCTCCATCCAAAAATTCATTCCTACTATTGTATTTTCTGATTCAGGATTACAAGTCTGAGTGATCTGCTTATATTAGTCTGGTGTTGCCTTTGCTATGTAGGTACAAAAATAAGTGGTTCCTGGGATTCAAAGGGCACAAGAAACACAAGCCTACTAGACCCACTTCTGTATATGAATTGTTCAAGATGTTGAGACAATCACCAGCATTATTTTCAGTGAATTGAACAATAACTGAATGTGGAATGTGAACACTTGGTGTACACTGTATATGAAATATGACATTTTTATGATTGGCTTATGGAGATGGTTAAAAGAAGTTTGCTGGTAATTGTTTTCCACTTGTAAGTAGGGTGACCACAATATATGTAAATAAAGAAGTTCAAAAGATTGGGTAAATTTCCCATCTTATAGACCCTTATTTTTTATAAAGAGCTGGCAGCTATCTTACCAAGAAATTTTATAAGATTTTGTAAAACAGCAGTTTATGTGTCTATGATTTTTCTCTTCTAATTCTTACCCAGAGTGTTTGTATAAAGAAATCAGAAGCACAACAAGTATGTTGAAGGAGTATTTCTCGTATGTTTGTATTATAATCTTTTTTCATTGAGCTTCTATAAGTTTACATTTCTTAAACTATTATATTCACTAATGTTATAAAAAAATTTCCCAGTAATTATAGCCCTATTAGTTTTATTTCAGAAGTGGAAAAAGATTTTGAAAGTCTGATAAAAGATGCTTTGCAAAGTCATTTATCAAAGCTTAAAATTTTGTTGGATAGTCAATATGGTTTCATTAGGGTAAAATTTTGCCTTGTTAATATTTTTATGTTCTGTGAAGAGGTTACTGCTTATGTAAATGAGGATTTTGTATGGATTTGGTGTATCTGGATTTTTAGAAAGCATTTGACATAAAAGGTAAGTAAAGAAAAAAGTTGGCTAATTGGATAGATCAATGACATAGATGAAGGAATGGTCAAAAAATTACTTCAGTTTACTTGGGTGTTGCTAGCTGTGATGAGGATGCTGCTGATTTACAAATGGATTTAGATCATTTAGTGAGTTTGGCAAATAAATGGCAGATGACTTTTAACCCTTTCATTGTTCAAGAGGGGTGGGAACACCCCCCCCCCTCCCATGTGCAAAAATAAAAAATCTAAACTTTTTTGCTTTATGAAATCAAGTTATATCATGAAAAATTAAAGAATTAATACCAGAAAGTCATGTAATTACCTCTGTGTAGGCCTGGTGATGTGCCAAGTGACTAGAGAGTTGAGGTTAATTGAGTCTGGGATGACTCTCACTGACAGCAAGAAGGAAGGGTGAGAAGAATTTCTGTTTTCTAGATGTGGTATCGCACTCCTCTGTTTGCTCACACACTGGCACAGCATTGATCATGACTATATTATACAAATATGACACTTATCAGACCAATATAAATTACTAAAACTGATATATTAAATGCCTAATATTTACACTATATAAATTTTTTACCATTATATGTAGGTGTAAGGAGTGACATATATGAGTCATTAGTACAATCAAATATCGGCTGGGATTTCAAACATAAGTGATAGGTAAACCTTAAATGTCATATGATGTACAAAGCAGTGAAAGGTTAATTATGATAAATGCAAAGTAATGCATGTGGGTTATCATAATTTGAATTATAAGTATAATTTTGATTGGAATAACCTTAATAGTATTATGGAAGAAAAGAATCTTGGTGTTCTGGCTGATCTGTTTCTTAATTAATATATGCCATTCAAGCAGTGTGCTGTTGCTAGTGGTATGGTAAGTCGGATTTTAGGCTGTATCTACAGAAATATTGAATACAAGTCTAAAGAGGTTATAATATAATTGTATAGGGCACTAGTTAGGTCATATTTATAGTATTGTGTTCAACCTTTGGCTTCTTACCTTAGGAAGAACATTGAACTGTTGGAAAGGGTTACTAGATCTACTAAGATGATACCTGGGATCATGGAGAGGTTGTCATACAAGGATAGTTTAAGGTCCCTGAACTTGTTTTCTCTTGAAGAAAGAAGATTTAAAGGGGATCCAATTGAGGTGTTTAAGATTATGAGGATGGTGTTAATGCATCATCTTTTTTTCGTATTCAGTGGAGGGAGTGGTAAGATTAGGGGACACAAATATAAATTTTGGTAGGATAGGACTCATCTTCAGCTAAGACAGTTTGTTTTTCTAACAGAATGGTTGGCCTTTGGAAGGGGTTTCCTTCAGATGTAGTATATGAAATTAATTTAAGGGGGTTTAAAGGAAAGCTTGGTAAATACTTCAATGATTAATGATGTGTTTTTTTGTTTGTTTTTTTAATATAATTTAGTTTAGTGGATAGAATGGTCTAGATTGACCAACAGGTCTCTTGTTGTCTTTAAATTTTGTTATGTTGTTTTTCTTTGCAGGCAATAAAAAAGTGGTTAAAAAACTTTTTACACCTGGCCCTCTTGGGGTGAGTGTGGCAACTAAAGAAGCAATGCTGCAAGACATTGGCTCTAGGGAAAAGGAGTTTACAGATACTGTGAAGTTGATTAGACAGCTGTTATTGGATCTTGCAAGTAATGTTGTTCCATTGTTTAACTACGGTGTAGTTCTCTGTAATTATAATCGGTTTGTAACTTAGTGATTCAAATGTATCAAATTCAATTATTTTGTGTTTCAATATAGTTTAAATTATTCAGAAATGCTAAACTTGTATTGTGAATTTTAACAAATAAACTTTTTTTTAAATCATAAGTTTGGATGAGGTGAATGGTTTGTAAAATATCTTAGTGTAACAGTAAGAAATAAGTGAAATATCAGGTTGTTCACCATTTGACACTTAGTGCAAATAAAATAGCAAACAAGGTATAGTTAATTTTCATCCTGAAAAATAAATCAAATGAACAAAAGTAACAACAATAACAAGGATATGTTGGAGTTTTGATAGACAATATTATGTACTTGTGTGTATGAAAGTCACCTCAAGATGAAACTTGGCTAGCTACATGTATCCTGACTATGTATTTTTTATTTTTGTTTGTATATAATTTTGTTACAGTACTTATGTGTATGCATGATTTCTGATTTATTTTTAAGAATTCACAGATGTAAAAAAAACAAAAACAATATTATTATCCACTTATGATTTTTTTAAAGTAAATTTCTGTTTGCAAACCTAAATACAAAATACTGGCACATATTATTTTCTTATGTTTTCTATGTATTTGTTTGGGTAGATGTATCACCCGAGGAGTTTACAACAGTAATTCTTCAAGGTAGTGGAACATACATGTTGGAAGCTGTTTTGCAGTCTGCAACACCACGAGATTCAGGACAGGTATGGTTTGAACGTTATCAAGCATTTAAAGTATTTGTTTGAATAAACAGTAAATCAAGCAGTGTACAATACATTTGTATGTAATTTAGAGTAGTAATTTAGTTGCAAATGTAATATATTTTAAGTATGTTTCATACTGAAGAATAGAAAACATTGGTGAAAAATTTGCATATGGCATACTTAACCAAAGGTTTTTATTATGTGTTCCATACATTTTGTATGCTAATGTTTATAAAGAAATATTTCTCCTGCTGTTAACAACTTTAAAACTGAAACTAATTAAATGATTTAAAGAGGTTACTTCTCTTTTCCACTAATACTTTAACTTTATTTTTGTCCTGCAGTTTTAATGTCTGTTTTTTCTCTTAGTAAAACAAGTCATAAAAGCCTTCATTGATTAATTTATATTTTTATATCAGCAGTAATGGAAACTGACACTTTACAAGAGTTTCAAAGATGAATTGATAATTTCCTGAAAAATAAAGGGTGGGCTTAAATATTTTTTCTCAAGAATGGTTGAGTAAGAACAACCTTGAAGAACAAAATTGTCCCTTGTTGTCCATGTGTTAAAAACTAAACAACGGGAAAAGCATTTGAACTTGAATTGAAATAGAAACAACTTATTTATAAATAAATATAAATGTTTTAACCTAGGATCATGTGTTTATGTCAAGATGTAAGAGTCTTGGGTACCAAAATTTCTCTACTCTTGTGCTCTGAAACTTGGATACATTTTATTGGTACTAGTTGATAAACATGAAACTTTGAAGGGCCATTAATAATTCTGTATAAAGTTATTTGTCAACACTTAAGAAGCTGCTGTTGTAAACTGTATTTTAATGTAAACATTTTATATTGTTTGATTGTTTGCTAGAGTGAATTTTGACATGACATAGTGATGATGTGTGACACCTAGCTATTTCTTGAGTGTCTAGATTTGATGAGATGCCTCAGATTTTCTAGAGACCCAGGAAAAAATGTAATAATAATATAAACACAAGAGATTTCATCTGTTAGGTAGTCAGTCCATTTGCTAGCTAGTGAGTCTGTTACAGTGTTGTTAATCAATTACTGAGTTAGAAATTGTCAGTTTTGGGCTCATACCTTAGGTATAAAAGGAAATTTAACAACTAAGTTACTGTTTAAGTTTATTTCTGAGTTAAGCTTATTTCTCCTTGACATTTTATAACTTGTTTTAGAAGAAATAAAATGCATTTCGTTTTGACTTTGAATTATGAAATGAGATGAAAAATTTGATAGAAATGATGAAACATTGAAAAGAAAAACAAGCAGAAATAGACAGAAAATCAAAAGAAAACCAATAAAAAGACAGTAGTTAAAATAAATAGAAATACAATTTAAAGAATATTTAAGAACAAAAATATATGAATCGAAACAAGATCAATAAAACTATTAATTAAACAACTGGAAATATGCAGAAGGCAGTGATGGCACAACAGGGGGAAGAAGAATTATCCCCCCCCCCCATTTAATCCTGCATACATAGAGTAAATGTAATGTGTATAACATCAAAACACATTTGCTTTATGGGATCTTTTTTTTATAGTATGCTATAAGTCAACCAGATATATCCTACAATAATAAGTATTCATTCCCTTTAATCCTACTTTTTTGTACTAATGATACTACTGCACTAAAAATTATTTATTTGACTAAATAATACTTGAAAGAACATTATTCATCAAGCCACTTTTAAACCTTCTAATCCTTTCTTAGGTCTGTGAGTACTTTGTGGCTTCAAAACTCAGTACAAAGTACTTTTTGAGACCCCAAGTTGGCTCAATGTAACGTAGCAGGTTAAAATTTGATGAATAACCAGTCCCTTTAAAATTAACATGTGAATATAATATGTCTTGTTTTGCCCCAAAACTTTTTCTTGCCCCCTCCTACTCCATTAAATTTTTAGTGCTGGTGCTCCTACTGGCAGAAGGATTATCATAGGAAAATTGAGGTAATACGTAAAAGACATCTACAAAGTACAGAAAGGCATCAACGAAGTGAAGAAATATTATAACAATGAAATAAATGAGATAGAAAAAAAAAACACTAGTGACAGAATAAAACACCTGGCAAACAAATTGGCCACATCTCTTTCTGAATTTGCCCAAGGATTTCATCTTCAAACACCTTTAACTATAAAATATAGAAAAGAAGAACCAACTAGATCTGCTCTTATTATCACTACTGCTGTGCTATCTATGCCTACAGGACCCTCTGGACTATTTCAGCAATATATCATTAACTCATCAATGCACTTCCCAGAATGCTGAAATGTTGGACAGTAGGAGAAAATCATAGTCTTGTAAACCATGTTGAAGAGTAGCTGACTGATTATATGGAGTATTTTGTGAATGATTTATCATACTTGAACTCACACAATGAATTGTAGAGCTAACATAACCATGGTCACACCTTGTACATGTAAATTTATAGATAACATAAGAATGCTTTGTTTTTAGAACACTGTCTTTAACTTTTTGTGTGATGCATAACACTATTAAGAAGTATTTAAATACTTTATTTTATCTCTAAACTTACAAATGTACTGCAAGTAAAAATATAGTTTATTGTATTTTACTGTATGTAGGGAAACACACTTTAGCATTAAAGAAAACAGGTTAAAAGTATTTTGAATTATGAGATTTAACTTTCATCTCAACTTAGAGTTGTGTGTAAGTCATTTACTCTTTATTTGTGACTCCTGTATGTGTGTTTCCATAATTATTTCCACTACTGTTGATAAACTTATTTCATTTTAAAATGTTTGATGTTCTGTCTGTTATTTATATAATAATGTTGGTCAGGTAAATTTTAATTACAACAAATAAAAACCTCGGTGATATTGCACTGTCAGATGATTGGGAGTCCCCTGGTGGAACAGCTGTAAGTTATAGTTTCTTGCATATGTTTTGCTGTACTGTATTTATTTTTGTTACATTGAATAGTATGAACAATTTGCCTTAAATGTCTAATAAGATGCTCAGTATCTCAGAAAAGTTCTGCTCAGAATTTTGTTTCTGTCAATACATCATATGAAATATAATTATTATTTCAGTAGAGGAGAAATGTTTGTTTAAACATTTATCAAATCAAGTACAGTAACTGTTGAATTACTGAAAGTTTGTCCATATTGAGTTGTCAACAGCCATGTGACTCAAAGTTCTGAACGTCCTTGACACAATGTAGAACATGTGTCAACTTATCATCAATTCTTCACTCTCCCACCTTCCACATGATGTATTACATAAGCTTTACTTTCCCACCATATTTTGTATTTTCTTGTTAATAGCCATGCTGTTAACTTTGCTGTGAATTCTGAAGTCAGGGTCAGTTCTGATGCCAAGTGTTCTACAAATATTGATAATTTTACCACTTTGGAGAGGTCTTACTCTGCCTATAATATGCAGGGAGATCCCATTGCTGCACTTATTGATCAACATAAACAGGCTGTTAATGTTAAATTGTTTGCTAGTGTCTTGGGTGGGTTTTACAATTATGTAAATGTCCATGTTTCAGAACACTGCCATTTTGTCATGAATTTGAATAAAATCTATTCTTTGCTCTAGCCTATCCAACTTCATTGTTTGTAGAGTAGGATTTGTCTGCTACCACTAATCCTGATGAAGATTCTTTGGGTGTGATTTCTTATTCATCTCAAGTATATTTTATTTTAAGTCATGAACTAATTTCTATTATATCTTAGGATACTAGTATCATGCTAGATGATTCATTTCTTGTATCTTTATTTCTTTCATCTTCTAGTATTCAGATTGTTTTTGATGTTTTTTAGAAACTAGTAAAATGTGAATAATCTTCATATTCTTCATGTTTGTCATGTGAGTGGCCTTTTACCAGAGTAATTTTATACTACTCATCTTCTCAAGTTTTCAACCCACAGATTGGTTATTGAGGTGGTCTTACTCACCCATTGTTAGTTTCCTGTCTTTCACAGTGTGACTTTTTGTTATGGAGATTTCATATTCTACCCAGTGATTAGCTATTCTCATTCTTTTTACCCAGGATCAGATATATATACCTTACAGTTTTTCTGAATTGTGGGTCTCACTAATATAGTTTCAAATATTTTATATTATGATATAGTTTCTTATGTTCCTTTGACAACTTAGCCAATTGTGCTGCATTGCAAAATACTCGTCTTCCTCCCAACATCTCAGCTGACATCAAAAGAGCTGCTTTTCTGCATCATTTTGTTTTACAGGAATTTCACTTGAACTAACAGCTTCTTCAGGAGAAGAATGCCAGGTGGGGCTGATTAGGGTTTTAACATCTTGTTTAACTTCTGGTTATTGGCCTTCTTTGAGACAGCCAGCAAGTACTGTTCTCCTGCCTTGCCTATATTATTTACTTCTCAGCTGACATGTGCTGCTTCTGTCCATTTTTTTTTAACCGTTTAAGTGACCAAGTATAGAAGCAAGCAAGATGGGTCTTTTCAACTAACTCATTGACACTCTTTGGTTCCAGATCATTCCCATATCTAGGATATCGATGGCTGTCTTGGATCATTTATTCACCTGTGGGACCCTTGGTTTCAACAGATCCATCATTCTGGTCTTTGATTTTTATTGTCCTTCTCTTTCTATTCAACTAAACTTTCCTTCTAATCGCTTACAAATTGTGAATGAGAAGTCTCAGATCTCCATCCGAAAGAAGCTGTAAAAATCATTTATCATACTCCAGGTTTTTACTCCCATCTCTTTGTAGTTTCAAAAAAAAACATAGATCTCTCTCAGTTCAATCTTTACCTGAAAACACTTTTTAAAGATGGAAAATGTGATTCTTTTGGAATTTTCTTTGTCTTAACCATTGGATGACTAAGTTGGATATATAGGCCAGGGGCTTAACTTCATATTCCTGTTCATCTATCATCATGTCATTTTCTTCATTCTTACCATCAAAGGGTGCCTTTCCTTTTGGCTTGGCTTCAGCTCCATACATTTTCTTTTGAGTAGTCAAAATGTTTGCTGACCTTCTTTATTACATTAACATCGACTTTTGATTTTACATAGACTGTTGGATCATTTTGACCTTTTTGCCCAGGATCATTTTGATCACTCAGTATCTTAAACAAACTCAGTTGACCACCCAGCTGGCAATGTGCCTCAGATGGATCATTCATGCCTCGAAATCCCAATTAGTACCAACACAGTTCTTGGTACATCTGAAATTTTGGATCAACACAGTTCAAGTAACACTTCAGCCATCTCTTATGGTCTTGCAATCCTTGGATAATTACTCTTCTATCTTCTATACTTCTTATTAAACATATCCTTGAAGTCTGCTTCAAATAAGAAAACAAAATGCTAATGGGAAGAGAAATCAAGTATTTTTGTCCCGACTGTGATGTACCACTCTCTGTTGCACCTTGCTTCTGAATCTACCATGGTACAATGAACATCTAGTTTGATATATATGTAATAGACTTTATATATTTTTCTGGCAATTGTCTTTTTACTTATTTTTCTATTGTTGGGTCATTGTTTTTTGCATGTACAAGGTATTTTGTGCAAATAAAGCTAGATATTTTGTTTTCTTTACATTCATATTTCATGACATATCTCAGGTTTATAATAAAAGCTTTATTATATGTATATATTTTTTTTCATATAATAAAATTTATAACAAACTATTACAAATTATTTTGTTTTTCACTTTGCTTAAATACATAGTTTCAAAAAAATGAACTAAAAACATGATGTTTTTTGGGAATGTACTTATGGAGAAAAAGAGTAAGGGAAGGGGGACAAAAAAAACATGGTCTCTACTCATAATATTAGATTTTGTGTTTGTCCAGTAAGAACTCTTGCATGTTACATATACCTCTGTGTTTGTCTTAGGCACATTTTCACTTTCTACAGTGGTGATTCATGAGAGGATGATACCTTTTAAAGTTGAACAGAGGATACGATCTGGTGGCTGATGATGCCTCTCTGTGGGTACCTTCCCAACTTTTGTGTGCACATCCTTGCATAGAATTCAAGATAGCTCCAACCAAGATAGGTAACACCTTATTGCTTTATTTTTATCTTTTACCAGTGCTTTGGTGTTCCAATTGTACTGTCCTTGGATCTACTTGGATCTTGATTCTCCCTATATGTTCGCCAACTGAAACCAGTTTTGTCGTTTGGTTGGACTTTTCTGATGTTGATATTGAGAGCTTTAGCCTCAGCAACATGCCCAATCAATAGATATTACTGGTCTGCTCATCCAAGAATTTTCCATTGAAGGTACAGGATGATATATTGCAGTCTGACCCTGACTACTTGCAATGCAACCACCTGTTACCACACCAGAGGGTGTGATACCTCCACATTTACATACATCTTACTTGACCACCCCTTTTAATTAAAGGATGTGTGGAGTGATCAGGTATCCCGCTGAGAAGAATGGCTGTTTCTGAATCTCCTCATTTGGTCAGTTTTTACTCGTTTCTTCCATGAATCCAGGCCTTTGACCTTTACTTGAGTTCTGGATTTTACTGAAGCCCTGCTTGACTACATCTTTCCATTATTGTGGTCTAGGTTATTACCTTCCTACTTTAAAGCTCATATGTGATGAAACTATGTCCTGTGGCTCTGGTTCCCTCATCTTTCAATATGGGTATTTTATCTCTCAATATTTCAGAGGTAAGTGTACCTGGTTTGAATTTTACACTTGTAGAGTTAAAATGAATTTCAAACAGGTAATCATATCTGAAATGCATTATCACTCATCTCTCCACAAGTGGATGTGTTGTTTTCATCATGAGTGAAATTTTGAAAGCTGAATTATGGTAGGAAAGCAGAGATTATATAATGTGGAAGTTGCATGTTGATCAACATCATGAAAATGACTCCAAATAAATGGCTTTCAGTATTTCAGAAGTAAATACCCATTTGAAATTTATTTTAATTTTAGAAATATAAAAGTTTACTGTATACTTTTATAAATATTGTGAGATATTGAGAGAAATATAATAGCTTGGCTATTTTGAATTTAAATTAGTCACTATTGCACCATTGCATATTATGATGATACCCAAATATTTCTCAGGAATTTTTATTATTATTATTAAATTAAATCTAATGTTAAAGAGAAATTTAACTGTAGTTATCAATAACAGTAAAGGATTGTTGTGAGACATATTTAGTTGTTTAAGCCAGTATTAATTTTGATAGGTGCTTGTTTTAGTCAATGGTGCCTATGGTTTGAGAATAGAAAAGATCTGTGAAAGAGTAGGCCTTCCGTATGAGAGCATACCATTTCCAGAAGGAGAAAAAGTTGATCCACAACAGTTGGAATTAATCCTCAGAAATAAGAAGCAGCAATTTAGCACTGTGGTGGTGATTCACTGTGAGACAAGTACAGGGGTGATCAATCCTGTCAAAGAGATTGGATTGATTGTAAGAAAGTATTGTCCAGGTAGAAATGTTTAACTTTTTCATATTTTCCTTTGTTACATAATAGTTTCAAGGTTATTTTTAAAAACTATTAATGGGATATGTTCACTACATTTTAAGGATATAAACATGTTATTGTGGTGAGATTACAAATTTGTTCATCTTTACAAAGAAAATGTTCAAACTAGTGTAGTAAAATCCCATTTATTAGAAAAAAAAACTTTAATTTTTATATTTTTATTCCTAAAGTTTAGATTTCATAAATGGTGGTAAAATATTTTGTTATTGAACTTGTTAATATCTTTTATATCAAATGGCAATTTTTCTAGACACACAATAACAGTTGAGAATGTATAGTAAAAATTCAGGATTCTTATGTTTTGTGTTGTGTTTTTTCATATCACTACTTAAAATTACAAAAAAGAAGAAAACTATCAATGTAAGTGCATTGATTTTTATTCTGCTTATGATATAATGAAAAGTAGGTGAATCACAAGTGAAAACATTTACTTGAGCTCTTTTGCAAGTTAACTTTTAACCTACAAAAACTTTTGAATCAGTAGCTTAATTGTTATTTTGAGCAGATTGAGGTTCACATGTTGTGCTTAAATGTCACACAAAATTGTGTTAGTAATACAAAACAGGCATAACCTAGTAATTCAGTAACACTAAAGTAACACAGTATTGAAACAAATAAAACTGAAATAAACAAATTGACAGTAATATAATAATCATTACAAATAAGTGTGTATTTCCACATTAAAATGGACTGTCCATTGTACAAAACAAATAGATCAATTTAAGTGTACAAATAACAAGTTGATCAAATTAATACTGAATTAAATAAAATATTATCACAAACACAGTTACAGGGAATTGTGCGTCTTAAACAATGAGGAGTAATACTTATCTGAAAAAGAATGCAAAAAAAAAATGTTGATTAAACAAATGTTAAGGGTGCTTTATTTTTGCAACTTTTTTTGTTTTAACAATCACTAGGTCAGGAAGTTTTTAAGTTTGAAATGTAGTTAGTTGTATTTGCTTATTTGGTAATTAATATTTAATAAATGGTTACCTCATGAATGTAAAGTAAACTAGCATCAATGATTGTCTGATAAGTTTGACCTCTGCTCTTTAGTGGCATGGAAAGTTTAGCTAATGCAATAACTGTAAGCCAATTAGAGTTAGACTTCAGATACTGAAGACTTTTGAGGGTAAAATAAAGAAAATAGATCAATACCCATAAGTTATGAAGCTATTACAACTCTGTGTACTGAATAGTTGAATATTTAAATGTTGAACATTTGGATGTATAACAAAACTTGTGCCAAAGTTTACATCTGGGACCGAATGTGGCCTAATATTTGGGATATCTAGCTGTATATTCAAGGGTTTCAGGTTCGAGATATAGTGCTACCAAACATATTTTACACTTTCACCTGTGGGTTGGGTGTGTTGTGAGTGATAGCCAGTCTCATTATTCTGTTAAGTGTAGCTACTTTAACTAATAGATACTGTCCTTTGGTTGCCTATCATTTATGTGAACAAAACCAAAAGTGCTTTTTATTATCTTACACAGCATCTTTGACCCTTAAAAAAGATGTGGATGATTCTGAAAATTAATTAAAGTTGTAAGAATGCTTGGTCCCCAAAGGATGCTTATGTAGTGCTTAATTTATAAAACTAAAATTGACAGCTTGTACTTAAACTAATAATAATACTTTTTTAAACTTCTTCTTTGTGTTATATCCAGTGGTTATATTTTGATGGCTGTGTGAACTTGTGAATTTCTAAAGGTGCTGCTTATATTGTTGATGGAATGAGTAGTTTTGGAGCAATACCACTAGATTTCCAGGATTCTCAAGTTGATTACCTGATAAGTTCAGCTAATAAATGTTTAGAGGGAGTGCCAGGATTTTCTTTCTGTATTGCACGCTTGGAGCACTTCAGGAAGTGCAAAGGTAGGAATATTTTGAAGTAACTCTGATATTATAGTCCTATTTTGCTATTACAGATTAAATATTGAGGTCAAATGAAATATTTTATCTCCTAATAAATCCATATTGTTGCATATATTGTAAGAGTACATATTTTTAATAATTAATTTGTGGATATTTTCAAGTTACTTCATGTAACCATATGAGAGGATTAGCATTCCATTTTTTTAAAATATCACTGAATGTAGATTTTCAAAGTTTCTGGGATTTTCAAGTGATTTTCATGGATTTAAGATTTATCTATCAAATATCTTTTGCTAGTTTTAATTTTATTTCTATTGTTGAATATATAACAATACACATAAATAATAATTGATAACTTAAACTTTCAAACAGGTTGTGCTAGAAATAGTTTTATAACTGCAAAAAACAAGTTAAATATACTGTCCTCATTTGGTAGTTGAGATATGGCCTATGATGTACTTTTCTGTGCATTTTCTTATTCTGGAGAATTTTGAATTTTTGTTTTCAATACAAATAAAAGTGCCTGTTTCATTCCATCATACCCAGAGTTTAGCAATTGAAATATGAAACATATATATATTTTAGGTTAATTAATAATGTGATAAGAAAACCAAATAACAGTTTTCTCATTGTTTGAAACTTCTTCAGAGTTATTAAATCTTTGTTCAGTTGAATTAATATAAAATTAAAAAGTGATAAGCTAAGAGATTGATATTGTAGATATAATGAGTATGGGAAGTAGATCTCAGACACAACTGGATTAATTATAACAGAGTAATGGAGTAGAAGAAACAGTAAAATATAGTAGTCCCAAGGCACAACTTGGACTAAATTTTACAGATTAATGGTGTAGATTTAATGGCTGTGTGTAGTAGTTCTAAAGTACAACTTGGTTAAATGTAACAGATTAATGGTGTAGACCTAATACTTGCATATAGTAGTCCTTAAGGATAACTTGATTAAATGTAACAGAATAATGGAGTAGAAGTAACAGTATAGAATATAGTAGTTCTAAAGTACAACTTGGTTAAATGTAATAGATTAATGTAATAGAAGTAATATTAGATTGTAGTAATCCTAAAACACGACTTTGGTTAAACATAACAGATTAATGGCGTAGAACTAATAGTTACATGCAGTAGTCCTAAAGTACAGTTTGTTTAAATGTAATGGATTAATAAATTTGAAGTAAAAGTATAGAATGTAGTACTCCTAGGGCACAACTTAGACTAAATGTAACAAATTAATGGTGTAGACCTAATGGTTGCAAGTAGCAGTTTTAAAGTATGTTAAATGTGACACATTAATGGAGTAGACCCAATATTACATGAAGTTGTCCTAATGCACAACTTGTTGAAATGTAATGGATTAATGGAATAGAAGTAAAAGAAGAATGTAGTAATCCTAAGGCACAACTTTGGTTAAATGTAATGAAATAATGGTGTAGACCTAATGGTTGAATGAAGTTGTCCTAAAGCACAACTTGGTTCAATGTAACAGATTAATGGAGTAGACCCAATATCATATGAAGTTGCCCTAATGCACAACTTGTTTAAATGTAACAGATTAAAGGAATCAAAGACATGATTAAGTTTATATGTAATGGATTAATGGTTGAATTAAGTAACCCTAAAGCACAAGTTGGTTAAATGTAACAGATTAATGGAGTAGGAGTAATAGTAGAATGTAGTAGTTCCTAAGGCATAACTTGGATTAAGTCTGAGGTTAATGATGTGAAACTGATGAAGTAGTCCTAATATGAGCTTGTTAAACTATAAGTTTAATTAAAGTGCATTGATTCATCAGCTGTATTGATCCAGAGGTATTGGTTGTAAGTTTACATGCACAAGCATTTGATGCTCTTAAAAAAAAAATAAAGTTAAAAATCCAGTATGTTTAGTTTTTTTGTATAAAGAGTAATAAATTTAAGTAAAGAAAAAATTCAATGAGATCACTGTTTTTCTTTCCTATAATGTTACCACATTTCATATTTTACAATAGTTCTTTATACATGTGTGAACGAGCTAACTTGGATGTCCTATTAAGTGTTATACTCAGAATAAAGTCCCAGTTTTTGTGTATCACTGTTTTTCTTTCCTATAATGTTACCACATTTCATATTTTACAATAGTTCTTTATACATGTGTGAACGAGCTAACTTGGATGTCCTATTAAGTGTTATACTCAGAATAAAGTCCCAGTTTTTGTGTATCACAGGAAATGCACGTAGTCTCAGTTTTGATTTATATGATCAGTTTGAGGAAATGGAGAGAACTGGACAGTTTCGGTTTACTCCACCAACCCATGCTTTACTTGCCTTCCACCACGCTTTGATGGAACTGGTGGAAGAAGGAGGGATGAAAGCAAGGGGAAGAAGGTAGTAATAATTTTTATATGTAAATATAAGTTTATAATTAAGTTTGGGTTGACCTTGCCTAGCACTTAAATATAAGGTGTGTGATATACTGCAGTGAGAGGTTTAGTAAATTTCTCATGGTTAATTTTTATATTGATAATACCAACACTTGTTTTCTTGGCTATTGATTTTGATATTTAAGAACTTTGACAAGAACAGGTTGTAATATAGATAGACTGAGCTTCACATTTTGTTTTAATTAAATGGCACAAGTTTTTGTAATAAGGAAAATTACAGTCTTGCAAACAACATGTCTTAAGAATAATACATAACATTAATACCACCCTTTCTTCAAATACATACATTAACATAAATTATGTTTGTTGCAGATAGGCACAAACTTGCAGGTCACCACTATAATACTGAATATATTTTTGGACGTGTTGTCAAAAACTTAATTTTTGATTAGTAGTAAAGTATATGTATTTATATTAAAGTAAGTACATGTGTATGTTGGGCTAAGAATTCTTCTACAGTAGGTGTTTGTGACTTGCTGGTGATAAATTCAACAATAAATGAACAGCACACACTCCGCTTGTTTTAAAATAATATATTCAAAACAAGTAAAATGTGTGTACAAAAATTCTTTACACAACATATATCATAGTTGTATCTTAAACACTATACGGTTCTCTTTTTTCTTGTCAAAAGTCTACTTAGGCCAATTCTATTGCTTTAGAATTCAGTTGATAAGCCGAAATATTTTTCTCTATTTTTATCTTAAACACTATCAGTGTATAATTTCATTATTCCTTTTCTTCTCTCTCATTTCTTTTTCTTCTTTTTATCACATAGTGTCAGTGTATAATTAATTTATCCTGGCTCTTGAGTTATTGCAGTTGTATCGTGAACTTCCAATACTCATCTGTTTTTTCATATTTAGGCCTACTCCCAATAAATGTCTGCTTTTCACATACAGGCCTACTTCCAAATAATCATCTGCTTTTTGTCAAAGTCCACACAGGCAAGTTCAATAACTTTAGAACACCCTTTGACGAGACAAATTATTCTACTAATCTCACTTTAACATATCAATCATTAGGCTATTCACTCCTATGATGGTTAACATTACATTTTCTAACCTTTCTCTGACTGAAACTCTCTTTCACTTGGCTTTACTCTTGGCTCTCTTGTCCGGTCGCCACTATTTATATCTCTCACTAAGGCATTCTAGATATCTCCTTAGCCTTGACATCAATAACTTACAAACACAACTTCCAACCATCATCTACTTTTAACTCTTTTATCATAAAAAAAACAACTAAACAATCATGAAATATTAACTTACAAAATAAATTAATCAATACTACCAAAGTAAACAGCCTTTTATATCTAACACTTGTGCTTACCAAAGATTAATAATGAGGGTTGAAATTCCCTAAAACCTACCTTAATTCAGTTTGAAGAGGCAAATGCAAACTATGATTTTATTTCAAATATCTACCACATTTCAGTGATTACTGCTGTATGAAAACATACAATTCAAAAATGCTACTTATCTCTCTGCACTACTAAGACCTATTACATCAACTGTTCACAAACCTTGAACAAATTCACATCCTTACATGAGCCTATGATGTAGTCAGCATAATGCTATAACTCTCCAACAGTAGAATGGTGACACAACCTCCATGTGCAGTAATGCTTGTGAGCACTAGCACATGATCACAGGTTCATTCCTTCCTTGTCATTGCCTGTGTTCAAACATTTTTTTTCCTGTGCTTTTTCAGTTTCTAGCTACTCTGATTGACTGCCTTTCTTTAGTTCTACATTACTTTTTTTTCCTTGTTGCACTTTCATTCCACCCACCTGATTGCAACTTTGTTTTTTCTGGCTACCATATTTCTTCTTTGTGCTACTTATGACAATAAATGCATAAAAAAAAGAATGTCCTAATGCCCAGATGGTCCTTTTCAGGCATTTTTTCCAGCTTAGCCAAAAGTGACAGGAGGCACCTTATCTGTTCATGGAGCTGTTGTTCAGTAGTTATCTCCCCTTTTAGCCCACTTAGTAGAGCAACGACTGGCATGTGACAGATCTTGCATTTCAGTCTGTGGCAAGGTACTATAAATATTCCATAACCACAATTTTATAGAGCTATGATGAGAACCATGATATAATGATATGTTCACTATTAATTTTTTCAAAATGATGTTACTGCTATCTTGCTCCAGGTGATTGGTGCTCTTCTGCCAACTTCTTCTCCATTTCAAGTCTGTTGTCATTCTGTTTCATTGCCTTCTTTAGAGCCTGCCTTGCCTGTGGGTGATTTTTGGCCAGTTCTTCCCCCTATAGACTTTGCTTCTGGCTCTCCTCTCCCTTATGGGAAGCATATACTTCTTTTTCTATTTGTTACACTCATAAATCAGGTATGTGACTTTCTGTTTCTTTTGCCTGTGTATCATAATGACTTGAGTTGCTTTACTTTGTGGGCCTCCTTCTTTCCTATCTTCATGTTGATCTGTGTCTTCCTTGTCCTTCTCATCTTTGTGAGTCTTTTGGTTTGGCCTTTACTACATTTCCACCCTTCATCTCCTAACTGTGACTCTTCATCCTGACCCTGATAGTTTTTGTGGGGACACTCGCTCTTATTTGTTTGCCCCTGTAATTTTATTTCTCCCTATACTGTCTCTGTTTTAACTTCATTTCTCTGTTCTTGGGATCTTTTCAGTCTGGATGCTTTCCTTTTGGCTGCTCCATTCCCGATTGTCTTTGTTTTTCAGGTAAGACTGTTCATTGCTTTACTGCTCATATTGCCCCTTTTTTGTCAACAGTGCCATTGACTATTTTTCCCTTGTCTTACCTCCTCTTCTAGAAATTTATTCCCTTACACTTTAACTGGTTGGGGTTTATCAGCTTGTCTAACTGGCATATTATTCGCTTATTGAGTCCAGTCAGATGCCTTTTAAAATCACCTCCCATCAAATTTGACCTATTCCAAACTCTTTTACCTCCTTTTGATGCCAACCATTGGAGGAACTCTTGCAAGCTGGTATATAAACTACACCTAACACATTTATCTCCCTTGACTTCCATCACTGGGTAGTTACATATGCCTCTGGGTTTTACTTCCCTCTGGTTGCCATTCTCTGGTCTACCCAAAGGACTAGAGTGGTGAGTTTTGCTTGTTGATTTTAATTTTTACCTCCATCACTGATCTTGTATGTTGTTCATGTGTCTGACACATTTTATGACACTTTGTGTAATGATTTTGAAAGCAAATCACACCACACTGGAGAAAAAAAATAATAATAAATAATAATAATATGTTTGGTGTCATCAAATCATGCTGAATGACTAGCACTGCTTCAGGGAATATTACCTAAAATCTGCATCAAGTGGGGGCATATAGAAAATGTTAAGGCCATCTACTCCTGCTTGGTGCTCACTTTTAAGATGAGGTTTTCTGCAAGACTGCTTTGGCAGTATCTCTGTATGATTGACCTGGCAGTTTCTACACCTTTTACTAAAAAACAAAAACAGTACCAGGTGTATTCCTTCCCTTACATCTGGATTACTCTTGCTGTTTTTAGCTGTGGCTGCCCTGTTTCAGATGATTGTGCCTGACAATGATCCACAAACACTCTCTGCCCACTCCCTTCCCAATTCTTCTAGTGGAGTGCATGAGAACTCTTACTTTTCTAGTCCCAAACTACTAGGCATGTGTAATGGAGAATTTTATTTGCAAGTGCTGCATTACTCCTTGATTAAGAAACTGGATGCATCCATCTCTCATTTGAGATGTAGGGCTTGGGTGTTACCTAGAAATGTAGTACAAGACATCTTATTACAATATCTCCCAAACAATTCCCGGTAGGTATATTGAGCAGCATGGGACTTGGATTTGCTTCAGGATGTAAGTGAGGGTTCTTCCTCCCACCATTTCTCATTATGGTTTCTATCTTATATAAGTATTGATCAAGACAGAATAGCCTAAAATCCTAGCCATGCTACAGGTTCTAATGTTTTGCCCACCTTGATGGCACATAACCATCAGCAATGGATTTTCCTGATACCCTTTGCTCTAATATGACAGTACAACATTCTTGACCATGATCGTTTTTAAATGTGAAATATAATGGAACCTGAATTTAATCTACATAAATCAAGACAATATTTTAGATTCAAATGAAATTTCACTCACTAAAAGCAATAATCACATGGGCCAAGGGAATCCAATTTTAATCATAAGTAGGAAATCTCATGTTTGCAATAGGGATACAATTTTGACATTATAGACAGATACGATATATGATTGATTTTGGATACTATTGACATTAGGAATTTGGGATGAGGTTTGGGCATTTTATACTATACTAATTAAAGCAAGCTATATACATAGATTAGAACTAAAACTTTAAAAGTTAATGGTGATAATGAATATGAGTAATTCAATACATAATGTCCTTTCATTCTTACTTAAAATGATTAGAATGCATTGTCTCATCTTGTGAGTACCATCATTATTTGCAATTTTTTAAGCCATAATCCCAATATCTCATGAATGGCAATATATTAATCTTCTAAGTTACCTGATGATGACAAAACCTTGTCAAAACGTTGTACATTTGCTGTTATGTTAAACTTATATTAAAGTTTTTCTTCATTACCCATTCAAGCCGTCTCCAGCCATTATTAGTCTCAAAGTAGGTTTCTCATCATCAAATTCAAGTTTGATGTTTATTATAATTAAGTTTCTTTTATATTGTTATTTCATTTTAATCAAGTATTTTCCTAATCTTTATTCATATGCTTTATTTTAAACTAATTTCAGCCCATTTTGCATTTTTAAACTAGTTCTGTAGTTCATCCATTCTACTAATTGTTCTTCACTCTGTCCTGTTCCTGCTTTTTCTGTACACTGGAATCAGCTATACCTGCAATATTATCTGTGAAAGTTGACCTAAAAATTTCCATTGTAATGTAGATCTGTGATGAATACCCATTATGTCACAGTAGATTTTTACATTCTATAGTTTTTGTACAATATTGTAACTGAAATATGAAAATGATAAAAAAAAAGTATTGTAAAATACTTTGCATTTATACATTTATATCTACATTAAAATAGATTAAACCAACTACTTTATATTAATTAAACTCTTAATTTTCAAGTCAGAATGTCCATAAAATGAACTACAATACATCCTCGCTTAGTAACCTTTAAAAAATGTTTTATACAGATACCATGCCAACTGTGAAATCATTAGAGAAGGAATGAAGAAACTTGGTTTCAAAAAATTGGTACCTGATGCAGAAGAATATGATGGTTTCATCATCACCTCTTTCTTAAATCCTTCTGATCCAAACTTTACCTTTGATGAATTTTATCAGAGGCTACTTTTCTTAGGTCAGTATAATTTGTTTATAGTGACAGTAGTAGAATTAGTGTATGTATTAAGCTGGTAAAAATGACAGGTAAACGAGACTCTTAAATAGACATTTAATGTAATAATAAAATATAAAAAATTTTAACACTGAGTCTATAAAATTATATGATACAATGCATGAAAAACAAAACTTTTAACAAAGAAAAAGTATTAAATAGAAAATACAACACTAAAATACCCATTAACATTAATAATATATCTACAAAGTAGACTACACAAACTCTTATGTTGCACTCTTAATCTTACCAAACTTTAAACAAAAATACTTGGATAAAACATAGCTGGTTTGAAGAGCTCTTGGTATTGGGTGAAAGGCTTTGTCAACACTGGATATGGCAGATGTAGTGTGGTTGACATGTTGTAACATGTTCTCCTTTTTTTTTCATTCATGGGTTCTTAGAATTTTGTAGAAGCTCCTGTATTTTGGTGAAAATTCCAGAAGCTGCTGGGACTGAGATGTTTATGGTAGTTCCAAAGCCAAGGTAGAAGCTCTGGTTCCAGAACTGGTGTTTTCATTTTATTAGAAACACCAAAATCTTCTGGTGGTAGTTCTGAAGCCAAGATGGAAGCTCTAGTTCCAGGACTAATGTTGTCATGTTGTAAGAAACACCAGAAGCTGCTGTGATAGAGATGTTGGTTGTGAGTGAGTTTGAAGCCAAGGACTGATGTTGACATGTTGTTAGAAACTTCAGTAGTTACTTGGATACAGATATTAGTGGTAGGTCTGAAGCCAAGGAAGAAGCTTCAATATTAGTGAAAAGTGCAGTTGTGGTCTGTTGATGAGATGGTTCATAGACTTCTTTAAAGATTTAAAATGTTTGAGCCATAGAATGATCTTTCTAGATCTTGGAGGTGCATGTAGATGCCATTAGATGTCTTGTGGCATTCTCTGCATGTTTGAGGTTTCTACTTGCAGAAAATCCTCTTCCATCAATACCTCATCAGCAGCTGTTAGAAACTAGGGCCACCTCCTCTAAATCACTGAAGTCAGCAAAATCAGTTAATCTTCCTAATTAGGGTGAGTTAACAGTGTTCACTTATGTAAAGTTTAATGAAAAACAAGATAACCAAAAGGGATGACTAATATATGTGGTCTTGTACAGCTAAAGTCATGACTATAAACATTTAGTCAAATTAGGTTCTATTACATCAGAAACTCAATTAGTGCATGTAAGTCTTTATATGCAGACTGTTAAGTGCAATTTTTGCATACGTATATTCAAACATGTATATTATCTGAGAAAATGTCTCCCATGCACATGTGAATTTGTGGCTAAAACATGTTTTATATACATCAGACTAGTGCACTGCCATATTCCCTACTTGGTGATTGCCTTAGTGACAACTCCCACCAGCTACCATAACTACCACAAATGCATGCGAGTCTTCCTCCATTGTCTGGTTGTTAAATAAAATGCCCGGGTCCAATAGAGATGGACAGGGGTAAGCTTGCTAGTGTGGTTATACAACTGAGATCAGGCTAGCCACTGTACAAGTGATGGTCATCGCAGACCCTGAGGTTCCATTAACAGAGGCATCATACCTCTATACAACCTAATTTTTTACACAGGTGTAGTATAGCTTGAGGGAAATCAAGAAAGCCATGTCTAATGACCTGAAACCAACACATCCAGCAGAAAAGGCATCAGTGCTGGTCACAGTGTTTAACTTCCTGGAATCAATTCAGAAACATAGTATACCTTCTTTCTTCCTCACAGCCATTACTAGAAACAATCAAGGCCCTTTGGAAGGTTATATTATTTCATCCATCAGTATACACTATCTTAGCACTGGCTCTGTCCCTAGTACTTAAGGGGTAGTTGGTGCAGAGGTGGTTTAGTAGGATGCATGTCATCTGTATTTAGGTGTTAGAAATTACTGTTGTTCAGCTCAACCAGTTGTCTGACCATACAAATACATTGAAATATTCAGCTAGCAATACTACAGTTCCTGTTACTGTATTGAGTCTAAAATTACTTGCACAGTCCTCACCCAATGGCCTCAGATGTTCTGACAGTCATGCATTTGCTCTCAGGTTCATTATAAATGAAGTAACCCTAGCTCTTCAACTAGTTCAAGTTAGTTCTACTTTATTTGTCATGGTAATGACCATTCAGAAAGAAATGAATAACCAAGTGATCATAGTTACAGATTGGCACCAGGAATATGCTGTAACTTAGAAAGACAACTATTTGTGCACCATGGAACATTACTTTTGCATACAGAGGCACCATGATTTTCTCCTCAATACATATTTGTCCAGCCCAATCTCATCAACACTGGATGAGGTCCATTTCCTAGATATTATTGCCTGAACTCAGATTGGAGATAACAACCTTTGTTCTGGAGTAATAAAAACCAAGACTGGCTGAAGTTACGACTTCACTCAGAGGGTCTGATATGCTACAAGGTCAACTGCTTTATTTAGTAGTTCTTGTAGAAACTAAGAACTTGTCCTCATTTCTGTGCACTTTCAGTGGCACATACCAAACCCCACCCTATCCTATATGAGTTGAGCTGTGGACACAAGCTGACTATGACACCTCTCAAACTTGTGGCCAGACTTGATCTATCTCTAGTTTAATTAATCTTGAGCTGTAGCTGCCATAACTTGCTTACATCCCTCCTGTATCTGTGGGGTAATGAAATTGTACATTCTTCCTAATTTTTCAAGGAAAAAGTTGCTATCAATTTCCTTTGAAATGCCATATCAACACATGACATATACCCCCTATCTCCAGAATACCACCTGAGGAATATCACCTGCAGTTACTGTGGCACAACCATCATGGGTACATTAGGAATCCCTGACCACTTACTTGTATCCAGTGTGGTTGTGCCAAGACACTGAGAAGTGTTTGCATTAATGGAGCTTTGGGCTGAATACAAGCTTTCCAAGGTGCAGACACCTTCAGAGATTATTTTGGCCTAATAGGAAACATTTCAGCTACTGTTGTGGGCTTTTTACTTTCCTGCACAGTAAAATCAAAGTTAATACTTCAGATCTAGTCACACAGAAGTAGGCTTTGTCAAGGTTTAAATACAGTATCTGTAATGCTCAAATGAGTCAATTGTTGTGCCATTCAAACTTGGCATTGCTTTGCTTGTCCTTGTGTCCATCCATTTGAGGCATTTACTGAAATGCTTAAAGAAGTGGCCTGAGGCCTGTGAGATTAAAAGATCCTTAGTGGTATCTTGGCAACACACAGCTAAGAAACCTATAATGTCATGGATAGTGGTTGATGTTGGTGGCCAGGATCTTGTGGTCTCTATTCTTGACTATCCCTACTAGTTTTAGCAGCACATCTCTTTTCTTGAGATACTCGTATCTGCCCATGAGTCACTCACTATCTTCTTTGTGTTATGCTCACTGTCTCATCTATTAGGAAAGGACATGTCACTGTTCTTGTCCATTTTCCAGCTCTTCACTACCTTTAGGTTCAATTTGGTCCCTTGTGGTTCTAGCAACATATCTCATTTCTTGGAAGTCTTGTATCTGCTCATGAGTCACTCACAATCTTCTTCATATTATGCTTACTGTTTCTTCTAGTAGGGACATGTTGTCATTATTGTTGGCCATCTTCCAACTCTTTACTACCTCTAGGTTCCATTTGATCCCTTGTGGTTCTAGCAGCATGTCTCTTTTCTTGGGAGATTTGTATCTGCCCATGAACCACAATCTTCATTTTATGCTCACTGCTTCACTTAGAAGTGAGATGCTCTCTAGCTGGCAGACTTTGCCATCTAGGAACACTTCCACTCTCCTTCTGGCCACAGGTGACAGTGATCAGTGATAAGGTTCTATTTCACTAATAGAGTGGATGCCCTATAGAGAGACCCATTGAACTTCAAATTAAGGGTTACAACAGGGTTAGTAGTTTGAAGTCTAGAATTGCAGTACTCCTCCATGTACTTGTAGCCAGATCAAAATTAAAACCATGGCCCTTCACATCAGTAGCAAAAGACCAACATCCTGAAAAGAACTTGTCCTAGATTATGTCAGATTTTTAAATCATGGTTTCCTTTCAGTATCGAACTCCTTCCCTCATGCTACAAGTCCTTCAGCTGGATAATACCATTTCAAAATGTCACAACAGTTCAAATAGTAAGAATAGTATTGCTAAACTGAAGTGTTATATGAATGAATTGAGAAAAGAGAATGGATGCAAATTTGATGGCTAAACAAAAATAAAAGATGATTGATTGTTCTTCTTTCTTGGCAAGTATTAAAAAGATTTAAGGCAGGAAAAATCTGGACTAGACCATTTTATACTTATACAAAACATTTTTTGTGGTATTTTTATAAAGCATGCTGTAACAAATGTTAGGTATTGATTATAAAATATCAATTATTGTTTGATTATGAAAATATAACTTGAATTCATATTAACTCCTGTACAGAAATACAAATCATCAGTATGTTTGGTAACACTAAAGTTTTGTGAAGAAATAAGGTATTCAAATGACTTAAAATGAGATTTTGTGTGTGAAATAAGAAATAAATTATCATTATGCATTAATTTTAAATTTAATAAATTAAAAGAGTAATTTCAGTTTTTGCAGGTTTTACTTGAACATATGCTATATGGTGGAAAAAATAATCACAGTAGAACTGGTGATTCATTTCAAATCCTATTTAACAATATTTTTCACTTATATGAAGGTATGATTGTTTTTCAGTGACTTTTTTGTGTTTACACTAAAGTAGAAATAAACATAATAGTTTGTTTTATTTTCAGGCCAAGTTATTTATACAGGAAAAGTTACACAAAAAGATACATTTCGTATTGGAAACATTGGTCATTTGTATCCTGAAGACATGAACTATCTTCTGAACTGCATTGAATGTGTTCTGAAGGATATGCATGTTGCCATTCCAGTTTCTTACTAAAAACATTTATTTCAGCTTGATTTTTAATAGGAACACTACCTGAAGTGTACAAATTAGCATTAAGGTTTTTTAAAAAAATCAGAATTTTGTAAAACAACATACTTTGACATCATTATAAATTGGTCAAAAAATGCCCAGAAGAAAAGTTCCAAACATTTTTAAGTCTCAGATAATCCAAATTAAGATTTGAAAGTTATAATTTTAAAGTATTGGTTATTTCAATAAAAGAAACAAAGGAAGAATTTAGATACTTCTCATGGCTTGAAATAATTTAGTTAAATGTATTCTTTTAAATAACTTTTAGGTAGCTTGAATATGTTATTTGATTTTTGGTAGTTAATTTCAATTGAATTTTGGAATTTGTGAAAACAAGTTCATATTAAGATAGAAATGAGAATTTGTATCTTCAATATGTCATTATATATACATGTCTTATATTACTAGCATTGTGCTATCTGTTGTTTTTGATATCAATAACTGTTTGTTATATTTTAAATAATTTAGTCAGATTTATCCTTTTAGGTAATTTGAATATGTTATTAAGGTAATTACTTTTGGTAATTATTTTCAATCTTACACTGCCTGCTGTTTAAAAAAACATGCTCAACTATGTGACTACTTTATAAAGAATATGAAAATTTAAAGTATAAGCATTTATGAAGAAATATAACCCCAGTAGATATATATATTTTTAAACGTTATTTATACATTACACATAAAGATGATTATGTTTAAATAAGATTTGAATAAATGCTTCTGATCAACAGATAGGTAATAAGGGTATGAAAGTTGATGTAGACAATAGTTTTAATGGCATTGCCTAGCATACGGATAGAGCTTTATAAACTCTATAGATATATTGTATGGAAAATACTTGGAACAGTAAATATAAATAAGGGGAATTAAAGTTATCAGTCTGTTAGTATCTCCATCTTTGCTACAGAAAAGTGAAGAAGAAAATACAAACAGATAGTACTGTTCTGTTAAAGATATATAGCGACTGCTTAGTTGCAATATTTCTCTCTTTTTCTGAGCTCGGCATTATACGGGTAATAATATCTAGTAGTGAGAAATATATAGAAAACAACATTCACATGAATTAAGTCCACAGCTTTTATGAAAGCTTGTTTAATGTATTCAGCACAGGCCACTGTGTCTCTGAAAGTGGGACCATTTAAAATGTCTGTCACCAAAAATTTATGAATAGAGTACAAGAAAATCTTACAGACAGTATTGCTTTGTTTAGAGTACTTAAAAACTAATTTATAGAAAAAAGGATGAAGCAATTGGTTTTTATATATGATGTATTTACCAAAATAATCCAAAAAATCAAAGTACTCCAAGTAATAGTTCCATAATATTTGGTTTTATTGATTGTATAATAAACCAAATTTATTTTGGCTTTAAAGCTCAATCAACATAATTTTATTGACTTTTAAGTCAACATAAATTTGTAGAAGAAAAATTTTTGAGGACAATCGGTTGTTACGTACACTGTTTACAGTATAAAAGCATTACCTATTGAGAGAAATGTTTTAATCTTGTACATGTAATTGTTCTTTTAAAAATCCTACTGTTTAACAGTTGTGATTTATTTTCCTAAATAGAGACAGTTATGTTATATGCACTATTTGAGCTCTTACCTTTCTTGATCAAGTAAAACATCACATAGCTAGTGATATTTGGTCAATAATATTTTCTTTGTTCTTTGAGATCCAGTAAGCAGATCAAATGGAAGCATTTTTACATTAAATATTTCATTAAGTGATATATAAGCTAATATATGAAAACATTTTGACAAATGATTGTCTTTTCAGCAATTCCTTATGTTGTTACAACAGTATTTTTCACATAAATAACCTGCCCCCTAGTATACCCCACACCTGAGGAAAAAAGTTCTGCGGGGAGTTTGGATAAAATGAAGAGTTTAGAAGCAAATTTGCAGTTAAACCTATAGGTTCTATTATTTGATTCTTTAATAGAAGATAGATTAATAAAAAACAACAGCTGTGTTATTATGAAGAAAATTGTTACATGTATCTGTGACATTGTATATACAGTACCAGTCAAAAGTCTTTATTAATCCAAGGTATCAACATTCATGAAAGACTGCTAAAGAAAACTATTGTTTAGGTTTATGTGTTATATTTATGCATCAGTATTCCAATATTCAACAGAAGGTCATTTTCAAACATGTTAGATTGCATAAAATATATTTAGTGGATCCTGTAATCTTAACTATATGACTATGTCAATTAGACATGCATGCTATAATAGTTAATATTAAAGATTTTTCAGAACTGAGCAATCAGACATTTTGGAGATCTGAACAACTCTATGTGAAATAGTGATGGGCTATGTTAAAATATCTGCATAAATCTGCTATATATATATATATATATATATTAGTTAGTTACTTATAGTGTATGTATTTGTTAACTAAAATACCTAACCTAACTAATTAGTTTAATAGAAGAAGTCCTACCTACTTAACCAACCAAGATGTGT